GGACGATCACTCATATGATAAGCTCCGCTCGACAAAGTCGACAGCGGAGCTAAAAATAAGAAAATAAATACATATTACATTAAATAAACTGAGTATTTTTTTGTTATCATGTGAACATTTTTTTTTTTTGATTGCCTGTAAATTTCCCCGATGTCTAAATTAGAACACGGAAGGTAAAGTCACTCTGCCGGAAGTCAAACATACCAGTAGTCAAACACAAACGACTGTGTCAGACAACTGACTCTCAGTTGTGTCCTATACCGGTGCTAACGAATTAGAGTGATGTCTATTATAGTATACTGTACCGTACTGTAATCTGCAAATGCGTACAAATCTATTTGTAGATATTATTTATTGTGCAGTATGTTATACAGTGTGAAATTTCGTGTACAAGTTCGTCTGTGTGTAAAAATCCGAAAGTGCGCTTAGAATTGCAACAAAGTTGCAATTGAGTGTCGTGCATCTCATTAGCATATCATTATCCCTTCTGGCCTTTGTTTTCTGAGAAAAATTTCCCACTGTTACCGAAGTGAAAGCTCTAATTAAAGCCGCACCAATACTTCACACGTCTGAATTCGTCCATTGAAAAAATGAATTTTAATTAAAGCTGCGGCGTCAAAAAGGAATTTTACGGTACTGTCAAATAAAATATACTATACTATAGTACAATAAAATCTGTAGCATAGTGTACCCATCCTAGGATTGGACATCTTGAATATTAATATCACCAAATTCAGTAACCTGACTAATGTTTACTTACTGTTAATGCCTGATAAACACCTTTGCGATAACTTTGCTGCTGTTTAAAGATAACATCATTATAATATGGTTTGAATTCATGAAATGGCTGTAACTTGTCCAAAGAAACCTAAATCAGTGATAGATAGATAACATTAATTGCATACAATACATCTTTTAACCAAATTATCAAAATTATAACTCATGTATGGATTGAAATTCATACTATTTACATAATCAGACTGATAACAAGCAAGTATGTTCCACATACAATGTTAATTCGATATTTAAGATATTCATGTAAAGTTTTCAATGACAGTTAGAAATTGAAATATTTCTGTAAACTTGTAGATCAGTCGATGATTTGTAGTTTAACATAAATTCTTCATAATAGATACATAAAGAAGCCCCACAATTATTGCCCAGTGTATACTGGAGAGCATCTAGCAGAATGATTATACTAATTAAAGCACTCCCAATACAAAGTGTACATTAAGTTATTGTTTTCAAGAAACAAGTTTTATCAGCTGTGGCTTATTTATTGTAAACTCTATCTTGGTGCATGGAGCCGGGAACAGCCACAGGTGGTGCTGTGTACAATCAAAACATATAGACTTGTCTATGCTCATAAAGAGTACAGTGTAAAAGCCAGAAACAGTTGCTAAATATGGTGACCAGTTTAGTATACACAAGCTACACCAACCAAGTGACTGCTGACATTGCAAAGTATTTGTACACACTCCACCATAACTCTGTAATACGCAATTACGATTCTGGTTCCTCCATAACCCTGGATCATCAAAAGCTCTCCACTTGGTATTGTACAATTATCGCAGTGTATACTGGTTCTGAATCAGTACAGTACTGACTAAAACAGATGCTCTCCAGTAATGGTAAAAATAGTGTGGCATAAATGGCCCAGATTCAGGGACACCACCTGGGTTTCCACATGAGCCAATCAGAATGTTGCTAGCAGCTGTCTCACGAAGGCAACTCAGTAGACCTCAAGCATCCTTTGTTATGTAAATCACAAGCACACCTGGTAGATTCCAATTATCTTTCCATAGTTGAAGTATGTCAATTACCTTTATGACAGTTTTTACACATCAATGCAGACGGTTTGTTCCCATGCACACTTCTATCTGCAGGTTTTGAGGTAATATGGTTATAGTCAATCACTATAAAACCATGCCTTAGTCAAACAGTTGACTAAATATAAAACCATGCGTCACTTTATGCTTAGTACCCAGTGAATAATGATTATTATGTTATAATAAGAATTACCAGTGAGTGCTTGAGGTCACCATACCATCTAACCCATCTCTGATCTATAAGCTGTGGTGGCGGTTTCTCTACTTCAATATGTGATATTACAACTGCTGGCCACCATGGAAAACCTTTTATTTTACCCCATACAAGTGTACCAATGCAAAAACGCATCTAAAAATAAAAAGTCTTTGTTAACATTGAGTCTTGATGTTATGAGTCATATATTATATCAGTGTATTATGCTTGTGAATGCACAATTGTGATTGGTTGAGAAGTATATTTTAGCAGCATTACCTCATTCATAGAATGATTCTGACTTTCCTCAGTAGCAGCGACTGAATTCTTCTGACCATTACTTTCAATCTTAACAGCAGCAATACATTCCTAAAATAAGACAATATGCTAAGCAATGACAAAATGATGGCATCCCTAACTGCTTGGACAAAATGATGACAATTGCTTGGACAAAGTAATGACATCCCTAATTGCTTGGACAAAATGATGACATCCTTAACTGCTTGGACAAAATGATGACATCCCTAACTGCTTGGACAAAATGATGGCATCCCTAACTCCTTGGACAAAATGATGACATCCCTAACTGCTTGGACAAAATGATGGCATCCCTAACTGCTTGGACAAAATTATGACATCCCAAACTGCTTGGACAAAATGATGACATCCTTAACTGTTTGGACAAAATAATGACATCCCTAA